GGACGTCGGGTCAGTATGGGGGGGAGGTCGGGTCAGATCATAGTGAGCTCCCCCGGCTCGGCTGAGGAAAACTTTATACGTTTTGCTCTTACAATCATTGTAAACAAATCTTTTGCAGCGTAATAAATAAAATGTTCTGATCATGTGACGGATCTTCCATGTTTGTGGGAACCAATCTCCCATCAAGACAAACCAGACCAGCACCCGACCAATGGGCAGAGAGGTGAGCCGCGTATAGACATCGCCGCACCTGCCGAATGTCATCACCAGTCATTGGACAGCTCAGATCGCAGTCAAGCCAATCAGAGAGGATCTTTACCTTGTGATCGCTGTGAACCAATCACAGGTGTACGCAGTGGCAGTGTTTACAAACATTCAGCATAGGGGAGGAAGGAAGGAGGACATCCAAGGTGGAGGTACGAGGGACTGGACAATGGCCGGGTCAGCACAGCGGTGTATAGAATGTGGGGCCATGTGGGGTAACCTTGGGGTAAAGCTGGAGTCATTTTTGGGGATTGCTGGCTCCGCCCAGTGTACGGCCTGCAGAAGTTGGCCTATTGGAAGACACGAGCGCCATAACAAAGGAAGTTGAACCCACCAATGTTCATGGAAGTCAAAGCTGATGTAGGTGAGACGGGGGCAGTTGAACATCAGGACTTGCTTCAGGTAGGAATCACCGATGATCTTTTCCCTGCCGGTCTGATCCACCAGATTGAGGATGACCTGTCACAGAGCGAGAGCCAATCATATCAGAGAGACGACACATTCACCTACACACACTATAAAGCCAGAAGTATTGGGACGCCTTACACGCACATGAACTCTAATGGCCCCCCAGTCTTAGTCCGTAGGGTTCAGTATAGGGTTGGCTCCGCCCTTTGCCGCTATAACAGCTCCGCCTCTTCTGGGAAGGCGTCCGCAAGGTTTAGGGGCGTGTCTATGGGAATGTTGGACCATTTGTGAGGTCAGGTACTGATGTTGGGGGAGGGGCTTGCAGTCTCCGCCTCTAATTCATCCCAAAGGTGTTCTATGGGGTTGAGGTCAAGACTCTGTGCGGCCAGTCACGTTCCTCCTCCCCCCTCCCCCATCCATGTCTTTATGGACCTTGCTTTGTGCACTGGTGCGCAGTCATGTTGGAACAGGAAGGGGCCATCCCCAAACTCCTCCCACAAAGCTGGGAGCATGAAATTGTCCAAAATATCTTGGTGTGCTGATGGCTTAAGAGTTCCCTTCACTGGAACTAAGGGGCGGAGCCCTACCCCCGAAAAACAACCCCCCCCTATCCCAAACTTTACACTTGGCACCGTTCTCCTGGCAACCGCCAAACCCAGACACACCCATCGGATTGCCAGACAGAGAAGCGTGATTGGTCCCTCCAGAGACCACGCCTCCACTTCTCTAGAGTCCAGTGGCGGCGTGCGTTACACCACGGCATCCCACGCTTTGCATTGCACTTGGTGATGTGCGGCTTGGATGCAGCTGCTCGGCCATGGAAACCCATTCCATGAAGCTCTCTACGCACTGTTGTTGTGCCAATCTGAAGGCCGCATGGAGTTTGGAGGTCTGTAGCTATTGACTCTGCAGACAGTTGGCGACTTCTGCGCACTGTGCGCTTCAGCATGCGCTGACCCCGCTCTGTCATGTGACGCGGCCGACCACTTCCTGGCTGAGTTGCTGTTGTTCCCGGTTGCTTCCACTTTGTTATAATCCCAGTAACAGGCGACCGCGGCGGAATATTTAGTAGCCGGGAAATGTCACGAACGGACTTATTGCACAGGTGACAACCTATCACGGCACCACGCTTGTAGTCACCGAGCTCCTGAGAGCGACCCGTTCTCTCACCGATGTCTGTAGAAGCGTCTGCACGCCGAGGTGCCTCCACGCAGGGGATTGGAGGACCTGAGTCACATGATTGGGAGGGGGAGGGGCCAATACTTTTGGCAATATAGTGTATACACATTACATTCACCTATACCCGGAATGACAGAGCCACCTACCTGCTTCTTATAGATCTCCAGCTCTCTATTGAAGTGCGAGCAGAAATACGGACTCGTCTCCTTCTCACCTGCCGGAGGAATCAGAGGATAGAGGACCAAATACAGAACACCAGAGTGACAACATTCACCAGAGTGACAACATTCACCAACATTCACCAGAGTGACAACATTCACCAACATTCACCAGAGTGACAACATTCACCAGAGAGGAACTACTACCCCCATCATACTGCCCGCAGGAGGGTATAAAACACGAGATTCCATAATACACACCAAATACCAGGACACACACCGCCCATAGCGCACACACACACACCGCCCATAG